TTACTTTTTACATAAATTTCAAATCTGCCACCCCTCTCTAAGTCTGTGCCCCAGCATGGCCACCCCATTCAAAATGCTCTAGATCCGCCCCTGTCCAGAGCAGCACCAAGATTTGCTCTTAGGAGACAGAAAATAAGGATGCAAGGGAAGTTTCCTTTAACATGTTTACTTCAGGGTTATCTTCATCATATCAACATTGTAGAATATATTAGGTGGATTATGACCTGCTGCCACAGCCCTCCCATTCCCCTGAGAGACAGTGGCACAAACAGTTAAGTCATATTTGACACTTGTGTAGGTTGGTAGAAATTTTACTCAACAGCCTTATTCACCATTCACACATAAATAATATTTCCTTCTATAAACTGAACGCACTGCCCCTTTGTATTCTGGAATTTATCAGCTCTCTTGACTTGTACCCAGAACTTTGGCTTCTGCCTGTGTTGTATTATAAAAATAGTCACAAGGTTGCATTAAATAAATATGTGTGGACTATATCCATAAGCTTTGGCTCTTATCTGTCTCTGCCTGGCAAAGGTGCACCGTCACTCGGATGCCTCCCTCCCAGGCTCAGAATTATTCCTGGAAGTTCAGCCCTGATGATTTCAGAGGAGGGGACATCCTTTGTTACAGCTTTCCTTTTCCTTAGTGTTTCTAAACAGGTCAATTCCACACCCTGCTCTCCAAAACCATGACATACTGTAACACTGGCTTTCCAAAGAACCCATTAAGGAAATCTCTGAGGAAAAACATCTAAGCTAAATGGCTTCTACAATAACTCTGTGAATCCCTTGATATTTGAGTATTTGCATCATAGTATTACTTGATCTCTTTTCTCCTTTGCTTGAACTGAGAGCAGTAAACAAACCCAAGACTGTGAGGGGAAGGAGGCCTATGATAAGTTGACTGTACTGTGTTTCTGTTTGTACCTTTATGCATGTTTTGCATAACTGACGCAAAATAGAAATCTTATAACTGCAAGCAAAATCACAGTGGCCCCTATAGGGACAAAGCTCAAACAAAAATCATGGGTAAAAGTCAAATGCAAGAGGGAGTGATGGGTTCGATTTGGGTAGGCAGCAACAATGTCAAATTTTCTTATAAAACAATTTTTGTGTTATAATGTAGGATGTACATTGACTGGTGTGCCATAGCTACAGAGGAGTTGACCAATACAGTAAAGGAATTTGTAGCATTCATTTAGGAAGATGTATAAATGCAAATTAGATTTTTGGCTTCTTAAATTTCTGTTGGTGTACGTGCATGTTTTGTATGAAAAAACTCCAATATTAAGCTGCATTGCATAAGAAGATGGATGGTTCCCCAGGCTGTGGCTGTCAAAGGCAGCGTAATGGTCTATTTAATGGTCCCATTCACTAGTTCTGTGTGTGTGTGTGTGTGTGTGTGTGTGTGTGTGTGTGTGTGTGTGTGTGTGTGTGTGTGTGTGTGTGTCTGTACTCAGGCTGTCCATCTGTCCACTGAACCCCTCCTGTAGGGGGCAGCATTGACTCCAGCAGCCAGACACTTATTCAGCTGCTAGGATTAAAATCCCATTCTCTTTACTCTAATGTCCACAAGAACATTTAATTTTAAAAAGGTATAAAAACAAATGAGGTGAGAGACAAGAACCCTCAGACAGTTTTGCTAGTTGCCTGTGTCAGTGTCTGCCTAACGCTAGCTGACTGGTCTGAACACGGATTACATAATCGGGCCTACCTGACCCTGCAGCTAATCTCTTAAACCCATTTCAGATTCCCTTGTCTGGTGTTAGCATTGCCTCCACTCTTCAACCTAAGCGCTAAGCTAATGTAGCTAATCTTATTAATGTCACTTTCCATGGAGAGGAACAGTCAGACCTCAGTTAAACTAAAGTTTATCATGGTGAGGCTGTATTTTCACATTGATAGTCATCTTACACGCTGCCTTTAATGAGAAATGAGCAAGTTTGTTGCAAAATACTGCCTTTGTTGTGACTTTTCTTTTTTATCAACTGATATTTATCCTTAATATGTCAAATTATGTGTTATGCGACAGTACACATTTAAAAGATATACATGTCAGAAAATATTCCTACTTGGTGGTGTTCATCCTTTTTGCTGTTATGCAACGAGGATCTCAGACTTCCTTCATTTCTAAAATAGTAGTGGTGGAAGAATTAGGTTTTTTCTGGCCATTATCACATAATAAATACCAAATACACTTGTCAACATTTTATTTGTCACTTGTTAAAACAACGCTTTAAGGTGGACTGTGAGTTAAACATCAAACATTTTAAGACTACTAATGGTAAATAAAATATAGTCACAACATAATAAGATGATTGGATACAGATTTTAGCTTTTAAAACATCTTCATGACTTGTCATAAGGTGTCCTTGAGCTATATATTATATATATATACACACACAGTGAATTTATTATGTTTTAATGTTGACAGTGACTATTAATCTCCGAAATCATTACTTGACTTCTTCTGAAAATGTTTTCAGCCTTACCTGAATATAAAAGTCAATACCTGTCCGAACTAATAATTATCTTCCTCTGTGCTTACAGCAGGGCATCATGGGTAGCCATCACGTCTTTGTTTGTGGCTCTGAGATAAAAAGGTTGAGATCCGCGTTGATGTAGGTGAAGCTGAAGCCTCCTTGACAGCAAGTAGCATTCGAGTGCTCAGTTTAAAAAGGTCGTGTGTGAAGAGTGGTATTTCAGTTATGACCCTGCAGCTCAGTAAACCTGTCGCACCAAGCTAACGCTTAGCTTCCAGCCTGCAGTTTGCAGCCTCAGCTGGCCTTTCTCTGCTCCTTATTTAGCAACAAAATGATGAAGCAGTGCTCACTATGTACTTACTGTGCTTTTGAAGGTCTCATCTGCATTTGCATATTACCATTCATGACTGGCTTTATAATGCACTGCAGTGTTTTACTTATGGCTTCTTCTCACACTTCTTTTTCACACTTGCCTGAATCTTGAAATACATAAAAAACCAAATTTAATTTGCTTTTAATCGACCTACTGTATCTGGGATTATGTTTTACTAGAGGGTCTTAGCCCTCGAGGTCATAAGCTGAAGATTTAAAGCTAATCCTGTTCATATTGTATCTTACTTTACTAAAGGAAATTAAACATATTACAAAGGATATATTAACATGTAAGCCAATTTTGATTAACCTGTGTCTGGCTGGTTGGCCAGTAGACAGTGAGGCGGCCCAGTCACCCTGGCAACAATAGCACATAGCCATCTGAAAACAAAGAATCTAAAGGTGGTTTATACAGTATATGAATAAATAATTCCCAGAGTAAATTGGGATAACAGCTGCTAAACCGCATTTAAAATTGTCTGCGACATTGTGACGTTGCCTGCTGCAAAACAGAAAAGGGAGCAAAAGGCCAATAGAAGTGTCCTCAACATGTTTATCTTCTTCAGCTGAGTGCGAAGGAAAACTGTTGACAGGACAAATGTCATCCTGAAATAATTCAGAAAGCATCATAGAAAATGTGCACTGCAGTTACACCCAGACGCTACACATGATTTTGTAGTTAGACTGTAAATTGACATGGAAAACCACTGCGCATAACACTGAACTCTGTTGAATAACATGTCATCACTACAGAGGTTGATGCCCTGTAACTGGAAGATGACGGGCTCCATGCATTATGAGCTAGTGCATGATGATCTATAACCAGGTGTACAGTCAAAATGCCTGTTAATCAGATTACAGGGTGTTAAAACTATTTTTATAGTCGGGTATAAAAATAAACAGAGGATCAGCTTCAAGGAGAGAGATGTGAATTTTATGGATGTCATCTGAGGTACGACAAACCGATGATGGTGCTGTATCCCATGTTTGTTGGTAGTATGTGTGTGTCATTCAGGGTGTAATATGCTGGTGGGGATGAGCTCATAGGCCTGTCTAAGAGTCCGCTGCTCAGTGTATTTGTGTGTGTGGTCTCTGCTTTTACTTCACATGGTGCTGAGTCACTGCTCAGTGGACAGATGAGACCTCATTGTTATTATTCAGTACTTTTACTGTGGTTTATTTTATGGTGGTTTTGATGTTCAAATGAGACTGATTCAAGAGAGGAAAAGACCACAAGGCTTTGAAATGAGCACCAGGCATATTTAAACCCTGTTTTTAAAGGGAAACTCATGGCAACTTAAATCATCATGGGTGGATACTTCTGTGTAGAAACATTTGTGTAGCTCCAGAGGAATGAGACCCCTATGATGTCATCAGGGTGATCTCGGCTTTAGTTTGGACAGGACAGATTTTTACCAGAAAGTCTGGGTTCAGTAAAAGATGCATTCTGGTAGAATCATGCCTTTTTGGAGCTTGACCCGACTCTGAACATCTTGGCCTCTGCTGCATTGACTCAGGTTTAGGAACTGGTGCTTTTTTCGGCATGTGTGAACCTGACTTGACTTGAATATCACATCCCAAATGGTATAGAAAACACAAATATATTTTCTAATTAACAATGGACATGAATGAAGATGCTCATTTGTCATCAGCAAAAGTGCTAAATTTAATAGAAAGGCAACATGACAGCTAATTTGTTTACATCCAGACGGAAACATGACCATTTTATCAATGATGACATGAGACATGATATTGATCAGTCTCTACATGATTGTTATGACCATGTCTTCTTAAGCCTTGATGGAGCCTGTATTTTCCTTCTCTTGTAATATCTTTCCTCTCTCTGTGTCTTCCAGATGTACCACTCTGACCACGGTGTAGACTTCCCCGATCTCTGCTTCCAAATTCCTGGCAGCCCTGCTGAGCTGGGCCCAGCAAACAGAGTTTGAACACAACCTTCAGCACACCGCACTTCGACCTTCCCTGCCACTCACACGGGGCGTCCCTTTGCTCTTGCAGCTCCGGTGCCACCCTCCCTCCTCCTGAATCATGGATAGCCCTCGCAAACTGACAGGGGAAACTCTGATTGTGCACCACATTCCCCTGGTGCACTGTCAGGTGTCAGCAGGGCGGCAGGGTGGCTGCAGGGGCTTACTGAAGAGGAGCAACCCTTTCAGCCCGCCAGAGAACCTGGGTTTGAGTCGCACCACTTCTCTTCCTGAGAGGGACGTCCTCCAGAGAGAGGCTCTGCTCTACAGCAGCCTGATCCAGACCTCCAGCGGCTCCTGGTCCTCTCACAGTGGAGAAAGGGAGAGGAGGGGTGACAAGCGAGGAGGCAGCACAGCAAGTGATGATTCCTCGTTCACTTCAAGCAATTCAGAGGACCAGCTTATTACAGCCCATACATTACCCAGAGCCAAACCAAGAAACAGGAATATAATCCATTCCTGCGGAATACTGAGGATGATGAGGATGAAGAAGAGGGGGAGGATGACAGGGACAACCTCAGCGGTTACCTTGAGGACTCCTCTTTTCACCTTCACAGTGACACTAACTCTGCACTGGATGACGGGATGGCTCCTTTCCACTTACATGACCTTGGCTTTTCCTCGGAGCCCTTTCTTTTGCACAGCTCAGTGGGACGAAGCCGTCGCGAGTCCCAGAGGTGCATAGCCTCAGATCTCTCCAACCATCTGGAGGACCTGGACATCTTAGGACTGGACAACCAGCGCCGCCATGGAAGCAGTGGTTCCAACATGTCTATGGACTGTGGAGAGCAAGACTGGGGTGATGATGATGAAGAAGATGAAGATCATCCTATGCGGTGTGGACAAAGCAGCAAGACCGGTTCCTACTCCTCCAGCTCCTCGAACCAACACTGCTCCTGCTGTGCACTCTCACAGAACTACCCCCAGCACTTCCCTGATGCCTTCTCTGAGCCGTTCTCAGAGTGCCAGCAAACCTATGGCAGCGACTCCTCTTGCAACAGCTCGGACGGTGTGCTCGTCAACTTCAGCACCATTTACAACAAGATGAACAATGGCATACCAGAAAAGCAGCCAGTCTCTGGACACACCAACCTCAACAGCTGCACTGACCACTCCTGCACCTCCTCTGTTTCTGATCTACCAGGAAACCAGCAAGACTCAACTGGAGCGGCTTTCTATTTGGACCTTCACACTTCTCCAACTGAACCTCCACTGTCACAACAACCCTCCTGCCTCCGCAGCACCTTCCCTCTCATCTGTGAACCACACCTATCCACCTCTTCCACTTGCTCCTGCTCCATGGAGCACCAGGGGGCTCTTGACCTTGATGCTAACTGCAACTCCTACCACCCTTTGCATTCTGGGTCATCCGGTGACCTCGCTTCATGTCTGCAGAGCCAGGCCCGCCTGGTTGTCGCCACCCAAAACTACTACAAGCTGGTCACCTGTGACCTTTCATCTCAGTCGTCTCCAAGTCCCGCAGGCTCCTCGGTCAACAGCTGCTCTGATGAGCACAGCAAGGGCAGTCCCACCCCGACGCAGTCCAGTGAGTATTTCCTGTTCCGACAGCGAGCTGATGAACAGGGCGCTGATGAAGAGGGTGCTGATGATGAAGATGGAGAGGCATCTAGGGTGAGTTGAGGTAGACCTCAGTAATTTCAAGATTGATCTATTCTTCTTGTCCTACTTGGTCTAAGTGACCAAGAGAAACTGATGCTGAATATTTGCTGTGTTTCTTATATAATCCAAACAAATAAGAAAAAAACCACTTCAGTACTTCTGTATCTTGAAAAACATAGAAAATCAAAGCACATATACAAGTGATCTGGTCAAACCACACCAGACTCCATCAGGAAGGGGCCTGCTGCTCAGTGGCGTATACAGGGGCTTTCAACTCCTTGTGACCCAGGGACCACCGTTCTGACCAAGAAGTAACCTGAGGACCACTGTTGTGTGGGAGATAAACCAGATCGGCACTATTTTAATCACCTCGGCTTTTCTAAATGTTATATATTTGCATTAATTAGATTATTCTCAAGCAATAAGCAACACATGGAAGTGTGTTTAAAAAAATACAAATAAAAATTATTCCTTCAGTCAAACCATTATTGAATGCATGGTCAGGGGCCATCAGCAATGCCTTCGCAGACCATCAGGGGGCTGCGAACCACTGATTGACAATCCCTGGGATAGAATGAAATAGAATGGCCCTGTGACAGTCACCCAGAAGTTAAAATAGCCCTGACACTGGCATCAGTCTGTCCCTGATTCATTTTAGATCACAGTTGCTGTCTGGGGTTTTCTGACATCATCATGTCTGTGGATTATTTTAGCGGTCGTATATTACTAAAGGCTATCAGTCTGTAACTGGGCCACTGTAACAGAGAGGATCTTAATTACCCTTTCTGTAATTTGACCTCTGAACCATGGTAGTCTTTAATCTGATAAACTACTAGAGGAAGTTGACAGTTCTGTTCTTCTTTATTTCCTTGTTCATCTTCATTCAGCATGATGTTGATGATGATGAGGAGGTTGAGGAGGAAAACAAGAAGAATTATCAGGAAGGTGGTGGAGCTGAAGTTGCTCCTGCTGTTATTGAAGGCCAGGTGTACGTCAACATCTCCCCACCTACAGTTGGCCAGGCTGTTATTGGAGGCGGAGCCTCTTCAGGGTGTCGTCCCCGTTCTCGCAGTTATGACCGCCACCTGGACAAGTCTCCCTGTCCTCGGCTTGGGTCTCTGGAGCGTATGTTGAGCTGCCCTGTCCGGCTCAGCGAGGGCGCCACCCCAGCTCCGCCTCCTCCTCCACGGGTCACCTCCTTTGCAGAGATCGCACGAAGTAAAAGACGAAATGGAGGCGCAGGGGGGTCGCCGTCACTGAAAACAGCTGCAGATCCCTTCTCCTCCACCCACTCCCACTCCTCGGTGGACTTCTCTCCAATCCTGGAGCAGCATGTGGAGGTGCACAGTCAAAGCCTGTCACCCATACCCTTTACCAGATGTTACAGCCAAGGCAGTATAGAGCGACACCTGGAGGGTGCGAGGGAGACCCGGGCCAAGACAGAAGGTACGTCACCAATTACTTTATGTCCACAGGGAAGGCCCCCCATTTTCCCACAAGGGTGCGCATTCAGCGGAAATTCAGATTAGCTGTAATCTAATGGCTAATTTCTGTCCACTTTACATTAATGTCTAATATTCAGTAGTTATCATGAAGTAAAAGATGCTTAAAAGCTGCCTAGAGCTGCACTGTTGGGTGATAATTCTCCTCAGGTTTGTCAGTGATGTTTTTTTAGGTTAGAGATATTCATTTGAATCTTGTTTAACATAATAATTACTTATCAGTAAGGTGCATTACCAGCAGCTATTATACCTTTCAACAAAAAGCTCCTGTTAATCTCCAGTTTAAATCCTTCTTCCATCATGCAGCTATACAAACATTTCCACAACAAAGGTTTTTGTGAGAGCATTTATTGTATGAATGTGGTGTTCTCTTTATCTGTGCTGTACATGGATAAACTGGGTGTGTTTCTGTTTACTTCTGGAAATGTGGCTCAGAACAGAGTGATTCAGAGTGTGTTTCCTCAGCCTTAGTGGGAATGAAGTGGTGAAGTGGGCCGAGCATGTTCTGAATAACAATCAGGTGAGCGAGGCGATAGAGGTGCAGAGAAACTCCCTGCTGAGCTCTACATCAGCACACTGAGCTGTGTGTGAGTCTCTTGTGTTTATGTGTGGCTGTGTTTCTGTGTGTGTTTGTATGTGTGTGCTGTGCAGCCTGTAGGCCTGAATCATCCCTTAAACAAGGTAAAGTTACAGAAGCTTCTTCATGCTGACACTATTTATTCTTCGTGTCATTGAAAGGTGCTGCAAGTTTCATCATGTCTATGATTTGTTCAAATCTGAGCTGCTCAGAATGGAAAATGGATGCTCACTGGTTTCTGAATCTGACAAAAGAAGTCTGTAGAAGGTTGACACGCAGCTCAGAATGGAAAGTGTAGCTGCTAGTGGTGTCAGAGATCGTTGGTATTGAGTCATTTTATTAATAAAGATCTCTTGAGCCGTCCTTGGTAGGCTCTCACCGCAGTGCCCCGGGTTCGAATCCAGGTTGCGTCAGGAAGGGCATCTAGCGTAAAACACATGCCAAATGTCAACATGCATGAGGTAAATCATTAATCAATTATGAACTTTTATTTTAGGGAAGTGTAAATAAAATGGCCAAAATAAATATGAAGATAAAAATGATGGAAACGGATGTGTCAGTGCTTCATACACAGGTGTATTCTGGGAAATGAAGTACTGAAAGACTAGTCAATATCAAAGAAGTCACCAACATAAAAACAAAGAACGTGTATCCTGTGGAGAAATATTGTAGGTTACTGCTACGCAGCTTAGTGCTAACGTGTGCAGGTGAGTGCACGAGGCCATTGGAAAAACTGAACAGCTTGTAACTGCCATTGGATGCGGAGGCCTGTGCAGAATGTGAGAAAGTGTAAGATGGCAAAGAAGTGCGGCCATGGCGACAGGATTTTTTTTTAAAGGCTTAATTCAGTTAGATGACAAAGTTTTCTTCCTCTCCCAGACACTGACGAAGTAACTGTCCGTCATAATGTAATTAAACAGTAAAACAGTTTCTCTCTCTTGAGAGCAGTCACATTTCTTTGAATATCTTTTTTTACATGATGATCCATCATCTAATGAAGACACAACCATCACCTTCTAAAGCTCAGTCTCTTCTGCCTGTTGTGTCCCTGGTTAGATAAACCCAAACAGCAAGAGCTTGGAATTTCACTGGAATAAGACCAGGGACAGTTAAGAATGGTTGCACAAGGAAAGGAATGTCCCAAGAATTCCCAGCTGTCCCTCTTTCATACAAACTCCCCCGAGTTCCTCAGAGGATTTTATGAACATTTGCTACTAGCAGGTTGTTTGAATAACAAAGTGCACTTGGCTTCTTAATTATTTAGACAAAACAGCTTAAAAATGAACATCAGCTCATTGAGTCAGCTTCTCTCTTTAGTTTTTACATGTAAAAACAATTGGTGGCATTTTTCTACCTTATATGGCGAGAGAAAGTGAGAGGTACATAACAACGGTCCTGCAGAGCGTGGTGTATGCTGCAAGCAGCCAGCCACAAGGGCACGTCATGTTTGTTTTTTCATCCCCAACAAGTTTCATAATCATTTGTCCTTTTCTTAGAAAAAGAAATAAATGAAAATATCAAAGTTTCACACAGGAAAACACTTAAGACATTTTAGTCTCTGCAGTGTTGACAGCGTATTCCAAAGTTCCTTAGAGTTCCAGGTCTCCTTAGCTGATTTTCGACTGTGGGAACTCAACGAGTCATAACCTGGAGCTTCCCATACCTGTAATCCAGGGAGGTGATTTAGTCTGTTCTGCTTTGCTTTTACTCTGCAATTTTCACTGTCTCTCACTGTTTACATGAGGGTGGGGCCCAGCTCCTCACACAGCTGAGCAGAGAGCATAATTTTCCTTAATCACACATGGAGACCGTGTGAGCAGGTTATCAAACAGCTGTTGAGCAAGCAGAGCACAAACCTGCAGAAATATGTGCTGCTACACGGTCGGTAGGTTCCTGCAGTCAACAAGGCACTACTACAATTTGAAAGAGTTCAACATCCTCACTCAGGAGAGGTTTTCAGCGTGAAGGAATGTGTTACCTGTGCCACCAGTGGGGTGTTATACAGTATATGTTTAAGTACCGATGTAGCTTAATATACTGTATGTGGCGAAAACAAAATGAAAAAAATTCAGATTTCAGAACATAAATATGCACTTATGAGATGGGGTTTAACAATTCCTGCAGCAAAACCTTTTAAAAAGGCTCTTTACCAAAAGATGCATGGTAATCTGAGTTTACTACTTTTGAAACAAGAACACACTAAAAACATTATCATCACACGGATTAAAGAGCTAGAATTCAGGTGATTTCTCACTGCTTTGACCACAAGAGGGTGTCATGACGATAAAAGCAAAGGAGTAGGTGACATCATTTATGATCTAATTATTTAAGGATATTATCCACTAGGATGCTTGTATCGAGTGTTTTTCTGCTCAGCATTCCTGTTTTGACCCTGAGGAAGGTGTTAACCAAAACGCTGGGTGTTTATTTTATGGACAGTGTCACTGAAATAAAGAAAACAGTAAGACTGGGAGCAGACCTCCCAGTCTTCACAAAAACATAGAAAAGAATAAAATATTGATAAGTGTATAACTTTTTCTCACCTCATCATTTCTAAAGTGGTCATATAAACAGCAGCACAGATTCTGGTGGATTCTGTTTTTCATGGCTTGATGCTCCATAGTTGATTGGTGCAATAAGACCAAGCACATGATGATATGGAAGGTAGAGGGAAGACTATATAAAGATTTTAGGAAAAATCATCATCCAACAACAAGGTCTGTCTCACATGCATCAAATATATCCTCTTCAGTGTCTAACACTGTATCCATATAGGCTGATGATTTAAGATAATAATGAGAGGCCCTGCAGCATCTCAGAACATATATTATTCATCAGACTTCTGTATTGTTTCACCGCTGTGAACAGGCCTCTTTAAAAGCCTATGGGAAGCAGCTCACTCACTAATGATGCTAACATGAAGCACAGAGCTGCAAAGGAAAAGCCTGAGCTGCCTAATGGATTCATCTCTGAAAGATGAGGAGAGCTGAAGAGAAAACAGGCAGAGAGGAAGCAGATGGAGAAGTGGGCGAGAGGGAGAAGACAAAGAGAGATGGGAAGAAAGAGATTAAAGAAAATATGGCAATTAGAGGGATGATAGAGCAGAGAGGCAGTGCTTCATTCCTCCATCCCCAGTGGAGGCTCAGCCCTGCTGTGGGGTGGTGTTCCTCCCTCCTCCATTGTGTTTCTACAGCAGCTCAATATCACCCCCGTGTGGCTCAGAGACGACACTTCACCCAGCTCAGGTGGCATCGGTGGGCCGGCCTTAGGGTGACAAACAGCTTGCGCAACACTGCCTACGTCACACACACACACACACACACGCTGCTGTCACACACTGCACTGCATCTACGAACACAAATATACACTCCCAGAAAATACACACAGACTCTGACTCGGTGGCAAAGAAGAAGTGCAGAAAGAGGCCTCTCCTTGCTGTCTCCACGGCGCAGTGCCTCCAGGTCCAGTTAATGTGTGTGAGTGTGTGTTTGTCTGCACATGGGCCTGTCAGAGCTGTGTGTGGGGCATGGTGGTCTGTGATAAGGGCTGTTGAGCTTTGTGACTCATGACTGGGCAGTTTTCTGTTTGTGTCCATGCAGTCTGTATTTTTGGTTTCGATGCTAATGAATCAGTTAGTTCATCTGCAGAAAATGAATCAGTGGTTTAATTTCAGCTTCTAAACAGTGAGCATTTGGTCTGTTTTATATTGTAAATTCAATATCTGCTGTCCTTCTTGTGCTCATCTAGGTGGTCTCTCCAGCTCCTCAGACAGCCACTCGACTGTGGTCCGCTACAGTAAGGACCAGCGGCCCACCACCCTCCCCATCCAGCCCTTCACCTTCCACCACCAGTTTGCCTCCAAACCCCCACAGCCCAAGCCTCTACTGCCTCTGCTCACAGGCTACGTCTCTGGGATGCAGGCTCACCCCAGTTCTGGCTCTGAAGGTCCGGTGGGGGAGGATAGTGAAGATGGAGGTGACAATGTGCACAGGTACCAGGGGGCTTTGGCTGCAGCAGCTCCTCCACCTGGATCAGTTCGGCCCTCTCCCCTTGGGAGCTACTCCCCTGTTCGGATCCAGGGGGCCCCCAGCTCTGGGACTTGCTCCACCTGCACCCCCAGTCCTCAGCCATCCCACAGCCTGTCCTGTCCGCTTTCAGCAGGCCTCGGCCCCCTGCACACCCCACTAACAGGAAAGCAGGGAGAGGGTTCAGCACCATTGCCTCCTACCCCTCCACCTCCATCCCTGAGAGTACAGAGAGGGATGGTGCCACAGATGCTGCCGGCAGTGCAGGGACACTGCTTCCATCATGGAGCTCTGCCCAGTTTACCAGCATACCACAGTGACGCGCTGAGCCCGCTGGGCTGTCTGGACTCTGGAAAACGCGTGGAGGGAAGCAATGGACCTGGATCCAGGACACACAATGGTATGTTCTGGAGTGTCCAATGCTCTCATGAGAAAGTGCTGCTGCTCTTAAAGAAATTAAAGGTTGAAATATTAAAATGTTTAGAAAACTAAACTTCAGGCTCTTGCATAAAGGACAAGCAACAAAATTGAAGTTAAGTTAAGCCTCTGTTAGTTACACTGAAAACACAAGTTTCAACATACTTGTAGATGTTCCTGGGGGTTGAAAACGGTTTTGACATCTGCTGGAACTTGCTGTGTATAGACACGATGGGGCAGGGATCAAACAACAACAACACAAAAGTCTCTGTGTAACCTTTTTGTATTTTTTGTTGTCAGGTTTTGTGTTTTCTAGTCATTTGTTATGCCCAACACTGACGTTAAAAATGCAGAGCGTGTGAAGTCAGTCACTGTTTTTGAAAGGGGACAAGGCGGTGTTGTTAGCCACAGACCACATTGTTTTCATTACTGTTAGCTCTTGAACATGAAGCATATTATGCACTCGACCCTACAAGTTCCAGTATACTGCTGCTGGGTTGGCTGGAATCTACTTTAGATTTGTTCCATACTGCACCCCCTACTTCTTCTTTCAGCTTTTTGGGTCATCTTTCCTCTTTCTCTTTACTACTGTTCTTTACACTCGCTTTGTTGCAACCATCCATCTCTTCCTGCTTGAATCAGTCAGTAGGTTTATATTGAACTACAATGTAAATAGTAAATTCTCACAGCACAAGTACATGGACGTTATACATGCACAGTTAATGAGAACCAGCTGTTATGATGGAATGTTTCCGGCCACAGAGAGTGATGCAGCAGCAGTGAAACACCTGAGGGCACTTTTTGTAAATGGCAGATGGCCGCTGGGGCTTTCACATTTGTGAGAGTTATTAGGTTTTGTGTGATTTAGTGTTGATGCTCTTACTACGTTCCTACTGTTCTCATCTTCTGCTGAAATCTTCTCCTGTCCTCCCTTCACATTTTCCACCTGCCCTTCTCCCTTCTTCTTTTCTCCACATGTATTCCTCTCATCCATCTGCTCATCTGACCACCCATAAATCCCAACCTGACCATACTCGTAACACCTCCCCTCCCCAACAGCACACCACCTCTCTCCTCAGGCTCTCAAATGGAGGGAGTACCGTCGACGAAACCCACTGGGGGTGGAGAGGGTCTCTGGGGGGCACTCTGGCGTAGGATCAGGCAGCCTGTCTGCTAACCTAGAACCCCGAAGGGTTGGGGGACCACGACCCACCAGACGCAACGTGTTCGATTTCCCCTCAGCGCCCTCTAGCCACACACTGGGACGGCCTAATGGTGCTAATTATTGTATTGTCAGTGCTGGGACGAATGCAGAATTATGGAGATATTTGTAACTTAGACTTTTAATCTTACTAGAACGTAATAGTACTTTCTTAAGGAGTTCACTGTTCAAAGAAAGCACTTTCTGAGGATAAATACACAGAAAATGTGCTGCAGGGTCCCTTAGAAAGCAAATACTATGCTAACAGTTTGTGTATGTGTATGTGTCTGCAGTGGGCCATTCAGCCAAGCTGCAGCAGAGCTACAGCGACTTCCTGCCAGACTACTTCTCCCTGACTGAGAAGCCACCGGAGGAGTTCTGCCTCTCCCCTGATGCCTCAACCTCCTCCTCCTGCTCTTCGTCACAGTCGCACATCTCTGTGGACCTGACACAGAAGAGAGGTGAGGCCATGTGACCGTGTACGATAGACAGTGACAGTGGGAAGTCTCTAAATATTTAAGCAACTAAGAGTCTAATGGTGGGCTGTTTTTCTTGGTGTGTGTGTGCAGTATTGGTAAACTGTTTCACTGTTTCAGGAACACAGGGACATACAGATGTGCAAGAGTAATTTAAAAACAGGATCACAGCAACTTGGAGTTGTTGTCTCATCCAGTGCAGAAGTTGCATCTCAAACAAACACATCACTTTTAAGCCATTATCATACAGATAATTTCCTCAGATGTGGTGGAACTGCAAAGAGCAATCTGTTAAAGGGTGTTGTTTGTTAATGATTTAGTTCCAGACTTCTGGGACTATTTGGGTTTTTGGGGGCCTTACTCCCAATAAACATAAATTCCTTTCTAATACACAGAAGAGCCTCCAACTTACAAACACATTGAGAGCTAGTACATAATGGAGGAACATACTGGTTTGTACTCGGGGCCACAAAAGCTCAGAGTTTTAGAGACACTGTGGCACTGCAGAGAGAATCAGATAGAAACTGTTTGGACAATCACATCGCCAGACCACAGAGTTGTTGTCAAAGGAAAGAGGGAGCAAAATGATGTTGCTCAAGTGTTAAATCAAGTGCAGCTCACTGAGAAAAGGCTACTTGACAGCAAGGAGCAGCAGGGCATCATATAATGAGCAGGGAGGTCATCTTCACCCTGGATCACCCAGGTTTATTTCCCTGTGTCACTGAGAGTTGCTAGCTCTCTAAAGAATTAAAAGACTCAATCTCAATTCACTTCATGCCGGCATGGAGAGAGGATATTCTGAGTGTTCTTTGACCAGTATCTTCAAACTGTTTCACAGACCACCAGGAGGACCTACTCCATACTAACTTGATTAATTCAAAGGAAAACAGATGCATCAAATATTTTCCACTTATCCTTAGCTCTTCTTTTAGTTTCTTATCTCAGGCCCTTAAGGCCATAAAGCCCCACTCTGTTCGTCTTCTGCTGGACACAAAGGCATCATCTGATGAGTTTTGCTGTTCTTCTAGGCAGTGTAACATCTAAAACAGGTTAAGTGACTGACTCTTTCTCTGTCGATCCCTCTCCCTCTCATCAGGTTTGGTGAAAGCCGTGAACACAGCTGTGGATCTGATTGTTGCGCACTTTGGCACCAGTCGAGACCCAGATGTAAAGGTAGGAAAGTTTGCGAATGTCATTCACGATCACAGCAAGTAAACATACCTCACTGTTCTTCTGAACATACAAGGAGAGCTGGTTCTACCGGTTGGGCAAGGCTAAGATGGCAGAACATAAAAGTGGTACTAACCTTTGAACAAATAACTTCATATTGCCACTGTAGTGTAATAAGTTCAACACCACATAAGGTCATTCATCTGGTGAACCTCAGTGGTGCGGTTCCACAGACAGGTGGCGCTAGCTGATTTCTTATGGTCCCACTTTCCCATTGAACTGAAAGGGAAAGTGTGTCCAAGCCTTTGACGAATAGTGTACGTGTGTGATTTCTGAAAATCGTTTTGCCTCATCAGTGTGCTGTGTGTTGGTCACATCATGTTCAGGGCTCACTGATCCTAGAGGTGTTACACTTTTTATATTACTTAATACTAGTGGAAGTTGAGCCACGCAACCATGATTTTTAGAATATAAATTAGTCCCTTGTGTCTTTACTTCAGTGGCTTCACTCAGTGAACTGAATTCGTGACAGTCTGATTCACACAGCTCTGATCAGTTCAGATCAGTCTAATCCACAGAACAGAAAGCAGGCGGATGCAGCCATGCATTGATTACAAACAGTCTGTTTACTTTCTGTTTCCTTATTATGCCAAAACACACAGGTGAATCTAGTGCCCTCCACCAGAAAGTCCCCAGTGCTTTTTATTCCCAGGAAGTCCAAGAACTGTCCCTGGGCTAAAAGTCCCTCCATGGCACTGCCACGTGTATTTCCACAGCAGGGCTGAAGCCCAGGGAAGATTAAATAAATTTGCCTGCTGACATAAAAACACATTGTTCAGCAGCGTTGTAAGAATGCCGCAAGGGAAATACTTGCTGCGGAGTGCAATGGAGGACAGGCTGCAGTCAAAGTTGAAAGTATCGCTTTTCTTCAAGTTTATGCTCGTTTAATTTACTCAGTGAGGTTTTACTGTGCACACGGTAGTGAGCACAGGGATTGTTAACTTCGAGTAATGCTTCACTTCAGCTGATGTCATGCTCTCCTCCATAGCCTCTGTCTGCTTTGCTCCATGTGTGGAGGAGCCTAGCTCTACTCTCAGGTCAAACACCAGGAGAAGCTGCTCCATAAACACCAAAACCATATCTTCCTATTCACTACACTGGACTCTTCGTGTAGGCCTATTGGTAAAATGCTTCTTACAAACTGAGAACCCAAAGAACTCAGTTTCAGTGTGCTCAAGTAATTTTTCACACTGGCACACACTGATTTTTACTCATAAGTGAGTAAAGAGCTTGCATGGAGAGCCCTGTATTTGACTAGTCAGTGACATTTAGCATGCAGCCCCCCCACCTTCCAAAACAGCTTCCTGCTCCCTGTGGGCAGTTCCTCTCATTGAAATGGTGAATTAGAGAGTTCATATCCAGACAGTGGTGCATTCTCCTTATCCCTTCCACTAACTATTAGTATTTGGGAATCGTAGACTAGATAACGAACTCCAAGTGAAAATCGGGGGAGCTAATATAGAACGAGTAAATGAAATTTAATTTCTAGGTGTCATAGTTGATGATAAATTCACCTGGAAATCTCATATCAGATATATTCAGCACAAAATAGCAAAAATATATCGATATTGGCAAGGGTTAGATATATTTTGGACAGGAAAGCACTACGTATTTTGTATTCTTCA